ATAGAGGTAGTTATACCGTTATACCATGTTATACCCATATGGTTTCATATTGAGCTTGGTTTCATGGCCCATGCTGGTTGATCAAAAGCACATGACTATCATCAGAAAGAACCAAAAAGATGATGACCGCTCCTTCACTTCAGAAAGGGATCATGCAAATCTATGGCTCCAAATATGGGTTGAAATTGGGGTAGCAACAGACCCACAAGATATTTTTGACCCATCTCCAGGATGATTATTACTATCTCATGTTACCTCAAAATCCAGTAAGCACTAGGAAAATGCAGTAATTAATTTTTGTAGAAAAACCCAATATCAACAGGTTTCTATATATAAACTAGTACTGTAAGCTCTAGAGAATATTCTATAGCACTAGTAAACTCCAGTAGCACTCCAGAAATTACTATTACCATTTGGTTATTTAACATAGCCATGGAAAATTGCCCATTTATAGATGGTTTACCCATGAAAAATGGTGATTTTCTTGGCTACGAGAGGGTAAGTCATCTCCATATGTCATCAACCCATCTGACGAAAAGTTTCACACCCCGACCACCTCAGCGATCTCCTTCGCAGCCTTCACCTTTCGACCGACATTCGACCGGAAGCAATGGTTTTTTTGAGCTGACATCTATGGGGCGTCCTGTACTGGTTGGTGGTTGAGCCTACCCCTCTGAAACATATGAGTTCGTCAGTTGGGATGATGACATTCCCAACTGAATGGAAAAATAAAATTCATGTTCCAAACCACCAACCAGTGTGATTCTTCCCATCGAATACGGGAATGTTACCACTGTATGATGTGTGTATATTATATAATGAAAAAACCATGGAAAATGATGACGATAGTTTATGTGTCTCCGACAAATCAAAGATCACCGAAACTAAAATGGAGAGTTTCGAAGCTGACTGCACAATAGACAGGTCAGTGTTTTTGTTGGCATGACCCCCAATATTTTGTTTTTTTTGTGTTGATATGGCTATGGGTCAAAACTGACAGGTTGGGATCTTCGGCACCTTCTCAGCCGCGGAAGCAAAGTCCTTCTCGGAACAAAGTGCCTCGGCGACCTGCCGGGGGAGATGGTATGACAGGTTCAAGCCACAAGGAAAGGGGTGGTGGTAACTTACACAAATAAGGATTGAACAACCTGAAATGGGTACTCAGATTAAAATCATTGGAGCCCAATACTGAAGATTATCAATGATCCTGGTGGTGACTCTAGAAGTGGCTTTTGGTTAGCCTCAGGTCACCACCTTAACCATCCCATCAACAAATGCTGCTTACATTACGTATATTATAATTGCTACTCCATATTCCCGTGGTTAATCATCTGTTCCCCATTAAAATCGCAATTTGATGGGTATCCTCATTTTCAGGCATCATACGAAGTTGGTTACATCAGTTACATCTCCCAGTTTTATCGACCCAGGCCTTGCACAGCCCCAGGCTCCGTACGCGATGATCCCCGGACCTTAACGGCGCGAAATCAGCAGCCAATGCCCCATTTCTGTGCGTTATCCCGTAGTGGTTGATAGGCATTCCCATGAAATATATTATAATACTATAACGGACAGTAGGGATATATTATATATCATCATATACTATCATTGCAATACTATACTGGTAACTATCATAATATATTGTAAGGAGATCTTATATATCATACTACAGTAGACTGGTTGGTGGTATACCTACCCCTCTGAAAAATATGAGTTCGTCAGTTGGGATGATGACATTCCCAACTGAATGGAAAAATAAAATTCATGTTCCAAACCACCAACCAGTAGATAGTTCCCATCAAATCGGTACTACACTGCCATAGAAAACTACCATCAACCACCTCTGCCTTATGGCACTCAGTGAGATCCACCACGCAAATTGCCGTCCCCGGGTGACCCCAACTGCACGGCAGCTTTCAGCCAGGCCTCACCCTGCTGTCTTGCCTACATCAAATGATCTCACCCCTGCGATGGTTGGGGATCATCCAACCAGAGGAGTTTCAACCAAAGATCTTTGAATCGCCATTCGAATCATGGCAACAAAAAACAACCATTTTGAAAAAGCATCCCCAACAACCCCAACAACCCCAACAACCCCAACTGATCAATAACCTAAGTGGTTTCACAAAACCCAAGTTGTGCCTTGCCATGTTTTTAGCCTTTGGATCTATGCCCCTGGCCTCCTGGGCATCCACCAAGCGCAATGCCTGGCGAGGCCACGGCTTGTTGGGAAGGTCAAATGAATGTCAGGAGGTTGCTGGGGGGATAAGCATCAAAAACTACTGTGGATGGTTGCGAAATCCTGCACCACCTTAGATGGTTGAAACCCATATAGATCATGGGATAAACCATCAACTGGTGCAGGATTCCTTCCATCCACAGTAGGATCTTCACCCATCAACCACTATCAATGGGATGATACCCAACCTGGCAATCCAGCTGCCGTTGTTCAAAATGGCCATGGGAAATCATCAGATTTCCCATCTAAACACGGGTAAAACTGTCTATGGCTTCATGGCGATGTTCATGGCTGCCAGATATGCTATGGCAGCTATGGAAATCCCATGGATTTTTTTCCCTTGGAGATGATCTACTTTCATGGGAGATCAAAAAAAACATATCTAGTCTTGCTTTTTTTGGATGGCAAAGACATGTATAGTAACCCAAAACAAATGCCCAAAGGTATGTCCAGGATGGTACAGAAACGCTGTTTTCTTAATGTTTTTTTAGGTGTCCAAGTTTTCGACCTTTTGGGGGGTGCTATAATGGAAGCATGGCCAATCTTCCCTTAGATTTCCTACCCATCCAAGCTTCACCCTGCACAGTCGCTGCCGAGAGAAGGTAGATTCTTATTCTGCCAGGGATTCAAAATGCTCAGTACTTTGAATCATGTCAAGCCCCCCCAATCATTGCGGTACCCTCTGGTTATGTCAAAATAGCTATTGAAGCCATGGCCATAGAAATAGTTGATATATGCCATTAAAAATGGTGGATCTTTCCATAGTTATGTAAACGTTTACCAGAGGGTAATGCTCTACACCGTGTTCCGCTTCCCCGGTCCATTTCGAGGCTTAACATCGCTGGACTCCGCCTGGTCCAAGTTAGCAGTCAAGCTCACCTGGAGGACAACATGACTGGTTCAAAATCCCGCCCTGGTGAACTCCAAAAGTGCTGCCAAATGGATACTGGATGATCGTGGATGTCCCTGATGTCCCTCAAATATATTCAAATATGCTACAGTATAAATATGGTATGGCATACTGTATGGTTTTGATCCCCCATTGTTCTCGCACGGGCCTCCGACATCGCAAATATGTGGAGTCCCCACGCTCTTGGGTGTTCAGTTTGTTCTGCGAAAACGGTTGTTTCTTGTCGACCGCAATCGAATGCGCTGTCGGAGCTTAAAACATATCAATGATTCTGACTAAAACCTCAATGGACAATGATATTTCGATGATATTTCGATGTGTGAATTGGCCATGTTGGGTGGTTTTGAGCGTGATCGAATTTGGAAAGACCCGTGCAAACTCTGGTTCATCATGTTCACCTACCGCTCAGGCTCATGCTGTGCATGTTCACTTCAAGCTGACGACTTGAGCCACATGCAAGGAACATTTTTTTATTGGGGGACTGGAAGCAATCCGTTTTGCTGATGAAAAGCCCACCTTGTTTGCTAATGTCAATCCTCAATCAGTATGTAACAGGCTTTGTTTTGACGATGCTATATGAACCGCCGCAGAGTTCATGCCATGGGCTGGAGGTTCTCCAGGCGGCGTACGAAAATCGATGGTGCAACTTGGAACACATAGGAAGAAACCTCAAGATTTCAAGAGTTGGGGAAAACATAGAACTATGATCCACTTGCCTGGGTTTAACATACCACTTTGGCTGGGCAAATCAAATTCCATTTTGTTGGTTAAATCCGCTTTGACCCAAAGAGTTGACAATAAACTCTATGCGAATCGACAGGTACTTGCTGCTCCTGGTGCTGCTTGTGACCAACTCAAAGAAAAACCACGGGTCACATTTAATGCCTGCCTATCGTTTTCGGGATCTCGTAAAACAGCCATGCTTCGCAAGGTGTATGATGCACCCTTTCCAAAGTTGTTATAGGTAGATAGGTAGATAGGTAGGTAATTAGATAGGTAGATAGGTAGATAGAGACAGAGATAGATAGACATAGACATAGACATAGACATAGATAGAGATAGATAGAGATAGATAAATCGATAGGTAGATAGGTAGATAGGTAGATAGACAAACAAACGGACATACCATGCAAACACAGCAGGAGACCCCCAGCCCACAGGTGGCGACGCTGGACCAATGGCATTTCGATCAAATTGCGATGAAGAAAACAGGCCGCACTGGCCTGTTCTACGGCTGTTCTACGGCATGTCTACAAAAATGCATCAAAATGGGTACCCAAAAGAGCATCCCAAAGTGGCCCGGTTCAATAAAACATCCCATGAAGATGTCAGCTACCCTCTGGTAATTTAACTAGCTATTGAAAATGGCCATTTATAGTGAGTTTTCCCATTAAAAATGGTGATTTTCCATAGTTATGTTAGTTTACCAGAGGGTACTGTTAACCAAATGTCCCAATCTCCCCATGGACAAACACAAGACTTGGCCACAAAGCCACTGCCGGGTTGGGCGGCTTTTCTCCGCTGAACTTGCGCCCTTCAGCAGTACCCAGAGAACGATGTGACCTCCTAAGCTGTGAAGCTGTGAAAATACTGGAGAAGTTAAGCGTTGAAACATACTGAAACCAAGATTTGGCTTGGTTCGGGTCCGTTCTCCAAGGGAAACTTGATACAACAGGATTTGAAAGTGCTTTTATATGCTTCTTGGTGCAAATGTTCAGAAATATATCCCATGGTATGCTCCAGCCTCACTTGCGCTGAGATGGGACAAATTATCCTTGGACAAAGTTGCCATCGAATTAGACGCTTGGGCTTGGGCATGGGTCATTTCACCCTCCCCTCCCCAGTCAGGAGCTAAACGATATCGTCGTCTGCCTGGCGCTGCCGTGCCAGTGGTTGCCATGTCATTTGACTTTCAACTCAAACCCCTTCAAAAAGATCTCTGTAGCCGTTTGGAGTCTTGGAGGCTATCATCCAAAATAGAGATGGAAAATAGGAAGTATTGAAACCACAAAACAAAAATCTGGCAAAGTTCCATCCACATCCCATTCTCAGAGTCGCCACCCAGTCGAGTTCTTTGGGCCACGCAGGTGGCTTCTACTCTGCGGTCCATTCCCTTCAGCTTATTGTTTTTTTAAAAAAATCGTAAATCATGATCTCCATAAACCATTTAGCATTGCTCAAAGAAGTAGATTCGGGCACAGGGCATATAATCTGCATGTACCTACAACCAATATATATAGATACCCTCTGGTAATTTAACATAGCTATTGAAAATGGCCATTTATAGTGGATTTTCCCATTAAAAATGGTGATTTTCCATAGTTATGTTAGTTTACCAGAGGGTATATACACATATATATAATTTATTTAGATTTATTCATTTACTCATTACCAATGTTCCTGGAGCGCAGATTGGAGTTGATTGGGACACCAGCTCGGTCCTCCTTCCGTGCTATACCTACTGATGACCCCATCAAGCCACCACCTCAGGGGTAGTTGGGACCCAAGTTTTGACACAAGTGGGTATGCGATAAGCGTCAAAACCTTAGCATCCTGCTGAACATTGTTGGTAAATGGATGTTCGAAAAACCAAAAAAAACAAAAAAACGTATAGAATCGTACAAAAGGTATTGACCCCTTACCCACTGTCAGGTGTCTTTGTTTATTTGTTCTTAGTTACTAGTAATACCAATATCATTGGTAAGATCATATCATTCGTAATGGGTAAAACTGGTACATCAGAAGATCTCGTCATTTGCCCCATGATATCGCCATGATTTCACCCATTTCACCAGGTGCCAGCTTGTGCCAGGCCTCCCAAGCGCATAGCCCGACCTGACGACGCCATGTCATGCCATGCATGTACAATGTGAGGCCCCCAAGATAGCTAAGTTGGTTTATAACTCCAATAACTATGGTTTATGGTACTTATAACTATAGTTACTGGGGTTTATAAACCAACTTATGGGGCCTCACATTGTATGTATACATATCTTCAACCATGTCAAGGTTCGTAACAACAACGAATCTATAGAATCTATACTCAGAATGGTTCGCACCACTCGTCTCTAAAGCCAAACAAACATCAACGTAACAATCCGTAACATCAAATAAAATATTTACTTATCTATCCCATACGCGCTATATATTCATCGTCCAAAGCCAAATGTTTGGCGACATGTTAGTATGGTAAACCCTCAACCATAGACAACACCCGATGACTTGCCAGTTGCGGTTTCTAGTCAAGAACAGGGTTTTGTGTAGATTGTCCTTGCAAAACTAAACCAAACCTGGCAAAATTGGAGGTGACATTCTCGCTTTTGTTGGATAATCAGCAGGTTGGAAAAGGGTTGAATCAACCCGTTGAAAGCCATTGGAACTGGGACACGTCCACCTCTTGGAGGATCCACTTAGTGACTGGTCAGTCAGTTTTTTCGCATCGGATAACCCGATGGAACTGACAAACTCCTCAATGTTTGCTGGTGAAAACATGTCCAATCCCGATGTCTGGTTTTTAGATTGGGTGTTTCTTTGATAAATTCCTCCTCCAATTTTGATGAGTAAAAGCTTCATTTTGGAATCCCATGTTGAAAAAAACAATGTGTTTGACAGTTAAAAAAAAAACCAATAAAATTGGACATCACATGTTTACCAACCCATTTTTTGGGGGAATTCCTTCATTTTGATGGTTCAAAACCGCCCAGTGTTGACCGGTGAGTTCTCCACCTCCTCCAACTCTCGACAAATGTCATCCAGCCGCAGAGCCAGGTCCTGGAACTCGACATTTTATAGCTATATCCTCCGGTAAACTAACAGTTTGCCATGGTATAGATGCTCCATGTATGGAATATTTACCTACGTTTGGGTCATTTTTGGGGTAAATGTAGGTAAATATTCCATACATGGAGCATCTGGGATGGTATAGATGGCCCATAGATATATAGATGGTTAACTTATTATAAATGGTGATTTTCCTCTGGTAAACTAACAGTTTGCTATTGAAGCCATGGCCATAGAAATAGTTGATATACCCATTAAAATGGATCTTTCCATAGTTATGTAAATGTTTACCAGAGGGTAGCAAAAATTGAGGGGAATTCACCAACAAAATAGGGAAGATCAAGGGAACGTCATGGGGATATTCATGGGGATATTCATGGGGATATCAATGGATAGTGGAATTTCAGAGTGATGTGGAAGTAACGCTTTTTTCTGGACCTACTGGTTTCAAATCATCCCAAAAATCTGTCGGGAGAATCATCCCGGGTCATCCACGATTTCTTGGGACGGCACGATTTCCATGGGCTTTGTCAATGGGGGAGGCCTCATTTGTCGCACGTTTCCATGGGGAAAGTGATGAAGCATCAATTTGGGAGCCGCAGCTAAATCGCTTTCTGTTACCCATGTTAGGCCCATACAGTGATAGACAGGTTTTTTCGACCAAAATGATTACAAAATGTGGATTCAACATAACGATTTCTGTCAACCATGTCATGGGGTATCCTGTTTACAGACAAAGCCACTTGAAAAAACAAACATGGGATCTACGTAAGCACAAAATCTTGGGATCAAAATTTCAATCCCACAAAAATTGATGATATGACTCATCGAAGGTGGGTATGTTGTTGGGGATTCACACCAGTGCACAAGATATAAATATCACCAACGGAGAGAGCCATCATCATCTCAATGTTTGCCAAACATATTCGGTAAGTGGGGTCTAAAAATCATGCCTTGTAGTGTCAACCCCGAATCAATAAACCCTGACGATTACTTGGGGGTTGCCCTTAATGATAATTCAAATTGGTCCCCGCGCCATCAGCAAACTGGGGGGTTGTTAATCCTAGGTTTTGTGTTCCCACTACGATCGCAACGATGTTCCTGCTGTTTGGTGACTATTTCTTGGAACACCCATCACATGGTTTGTCTGTCGATATCTTAATGAGTTCCAGCTATCACCTATATCAATCTGGACAATTTCTAGTCCCACACAAGACTTGTTGGGCCATGGTGCTGGTGCTTGGTTATTGTGCGCCTAAAAAGATTAGAAGGATCACACTGAAATCCCCATTTTGGTTGCTGAAATCCCCAAAAATCGCGGGGCAACGGGCAACGAACTCCCATTTTTTTGGTCCTCCTCTCCCAACTTCTTTGGTTGCCTGGCCATGGAAATTTAACCCTATTAACGGGTCCATGACGTACAAGGCTTGGGGATTTCCACTGCACGCAATTGACCATCTCCAATTGGAGTCTTGTTCATTGGGTTTATGACAATTTGGTGTGTATATATATATATATATGCACTAACACACACACACACATCTATATATATATATACATATATATATATACATATATATATACATATATATATATACATATATATATACATATATATATATATACATATATATATACATATATATATATACATATATATATACATATATATATGTATATATACATATATATATACATATATATATATATACATATATATATATATGTATATACATATATTTATATACCATCAAAACATATCAAAATGATTTGTCGGGGTGGTGAGTGCAGCACCTGCGACCATCCAAGTACTGTGAGAGCTCCAGATCTTTGATCTTTCTCCCAAAGTGGGCATGTGACAATATGGCGTGTGTAGTTACTTCTTTAAAGGATAGATGTACATGTCTGTAGAAAACTGTTTACACATATAATATATATATATATATCTGTGTGTGTGCGGGTCATACCATACCATATCATACCTCACCTCACCATACTATACCAGCACATACCAATAAATGCCAATACATACCAATACATACCAATACATACATTACATACATGCATGCAATACATTACATTTACATTAAATTTATATCTACATCTACATTACATACATTACACTACATTGCATTAAATTACATTAAATTACATTAAACTACATTAAACTACATTAAACTACATTCAATTACTACACGACACTACATTAGGTTATGTTACGTTACGTTACACTGCATACGTACATAAGATATACATATATATATAGTTGTACATATATATATATATGTGTGTGTGTATTTGTGCATATATATATATACATTTACTTGCACAAAATGTTTTTTATATATAATACATATAATAGATATATAATACGTATACAATACATGTATAATACATGTATTGTATACATAAATATCTATGCATAAAACATAAATAATACATATATAACACATAAATTATACATATAGAATACACATAATATACAAATATAATACAGACATAATACATATAGAACATATATAATACATGTAATACATATGCAATACAAATGTAATACATGTGTAATACAAAAATACATATGACAAATTTGATATACATGATATGTATGATACCCAGAATACATATGTCACCATATAATACATATAGAACACCTAATACAAATATATATATAATACATGCAATACATATGATACAGAAAGTACATACAATACGTATAGTACAGTTGATACATATGATGCGTATAATACATACATTACATGTAATACATAGACTACATATAGTATATAAAATACATATAACGCATTCTATGCATATGATACATATAATTAATACATAGAATACACACTCTATATGTGTGTGTGATAAATGTGCATATATGTATACACGTGTATACACCAGAATATATACGTACAAACGTGTAGACATAAATATGTATATATATACATATATACAAACATACCCACATATACATATATACATACACACGTACATATGTATATATATATGTACGTGTGTATGTATATATGTATATGTATATGTATATGTATATGTATATATGTATATGTATATATGTATATGTATATATGTATATGTATATATGTATATGTATATATGTATATGTATATATGTATATGTATATATGTATATATGTATATATGTATATATGTATATGTATGATGTATGTGTATGTGTATGTGTATGTGTATGTATATATATATATGTAGTTACATTTATATATATATACACATAGTTACACATATGTATATACACACGTACATATTTACATAGTTACGAATATGTATATATTTGTATATTTACGTATGTATATGGTGATGTATATATATATTATATACTTGTTTACATATTTACACATTTAGAGATTTACAGAACAACATATATAGTTTATATTTGTGTGTATGAATATATGCATATATGCAAATATATTCGCATGCATGCTAACTTTCTAACACTGCCTTACAGCGCATTACCCATTGCATTACAGTGCGTTGCATTGTATTAACTACATGTCATTGCGTACATACACGTATAGCATAATAAAAACATTGCACTTTATAAAATAACATACAATACCAGACCATACCATGCCAATACATACCATTCCCTACCATTACATGCCATTCCATGGTCTTATCTACCACTACATTACAACAGGGCATCTTTCCAGCAGGGGGATAGCGGCTAGCGCAACTCCAGAGTGCCTGCTGGGCCGCGGGGCTGGCAAAAGGATGCGCTTTTCGGCCGTTTGAGGATGGACAGGAGTGGCATCCTGTCAGGGATGGTATCATTTGGAGAGTCAAAAGGAAATGACCATTGCCGGGTGACAGGGTTCCCTATGTTTCCTGCATTGACATCACTATTTTTGGAGGATTCGACATGATTCAACCGCATGTGGCCACTATTTTACCACCAAAACCCAAAATGTAACTTGTCAAAATGACGGGAAGAGAGATCTGGGCCCGCTGACTGGATGGCTTTGTTAGGCAAACCTCTGGGATGGAGATTGACCCATTGACCCAATCGGAGAGATCTGTGGATGGTCAGCCAATTGAGGACTGAAAGTTACCAAAATGACAGCCAGTCCTCAATTTTGACCAACAAACTACCAACATTTTGTGATGACAGACTACCCAAAATTAATGACAAACTACCAGCATTGAGAATTCTCCATGATGACAGACTACCAACAAAAACAAACCCCTCCCCTTGCGCGTTGCCATCTGCAACGCTACTTTGTTCTTGCTCTAATTCGGAACTACCCGGACTTGCGCTGACATGATGCCTTGTCACTTTCTGAGCTTTCAATTTCCGGATTCCAGAAACTTATTTGTTCTATTACTTTCAAACGAGTTCCATGAATTCAAATGGTTGAGCTCACGGGCCAATCTGGATGTACAGGGCTTAGTGAACTTAAGACCATTGAGACATCCAAAAATCTGTGGATTCAAGGAGAAAAACATCCATGCTCCGAAGACCGAAAAAAAGAAGCGAATGGTTAGAGAATGTTTTTTGTCATGTTGATCCCCTAACTGGGAATAATCCCATCCCCCGAACATAAACATCCCGATTCTATGGTCCCAAATATGTGGCTTTCTGGGGGCGTTTACTATTTGCAAAGGGATGATTGATATCGAGCAAAATTCTTTGGGAATATTGGATTGATAGCCCCAAAGATACCCCGAAAAAAATGTTTAAAAAAACAAGATAGGTGTTGTTTTCTTTGGGATTTATCATACTATTCTTTATCCCAAAGATGGTGATTCCCTCGACTGGATCTTCGACTGCCAGTCCTGACACTGCGCCGTGGAGCTTGTTGATGGTCGCATGGAGCTGGCAGAACTTGCTGGCGTTTCCTTGGGTAAAAAAAGAAGTGACGCACCCGGATCTTTGGTGGTTGAATAGTTGAATCATCGGTTTTGGGGCAATTCAAGGTAGTTCAATCATGTTCAATCCATTTGGGGTGGTGCAAAATGCCATATTTCCTGTTAAATCCGCCTTTCTGGATAGTGGTAAATCCGCCTTTTGAGATGTTCAAAACCCAATTTTGGGATGGTTAAGATGGTTATATAATGTTATATACATCCCACTGACCATGTGGGTGTGTCTGAAAATGTTGTGTACCCCTAAACCCAATGGTTTTGCTGATCATTATCCCTATTAAATGGCTATTTCATTGGGAATATACCCTATTTTCAGACAAACCCATGTGGCCAAGATGCATTTTGCTCCATTTCCATCTCTAGCCCTTTGGCATCCGCCTCTGGTAACGACGCTTCAGCCTTGCACTGGACATCCGAGGGCTGCTCCTGGCTGGGGAATGCCTGGAAGAAACCTTTACAGAGCGGGGCCCCATAGTGAAATCACCATCAAACAATAGGGAAAATACTGATTCCACCAGCATTTTAATGAGGATGAATAGTTGATTTATGTTAGCGAAGTTGGTTCATAACTAACATATATAACATCTAATATAACTAAGGTTTCTGGGCAAAACAACCATAGTTGATGGGTTTCATGAACCAACTGAGTTATCATTTGAGGGGCCCACCTTGTAGGATGTTGATGGCATACTACCACTGGTAGAACCCCCTGATTCATCAGGCTTTATTGATCTGGGTTGGCGCTATGGACCCACAATCAGTTGGTCATTCAAATCGGATTCGAAACGATTCCAAAATAGGACTCAATACTTTTGAGCCACAGGGATTAAACCACAGGATTCAAATATATAATATAAATAACATATTTAATATATATATAATATAATATATATTCTATTATATATATATATATTATATATATTATATATTATATTATATTATATTATATTGAAATATATTATATTATATTATATTATATATATTATATTATATTATATTATATATATTATATTATATTATATTATATTGTATTATATTATATTATATTATATCATATTATATATTATATTATATTATATTATATTATATTATATATTATATTATATTATATTATTTTATATTATATTATATCATATTATATATATATTATTATATTATATTATATTATTTTATATTATATTATATTATATATATATTATTATATTATATTATATTATATTAATATTATAATATAATATAATATAATATTATATTATATAATATTATATAATATAATATATACAATATAATATAATATAATATGATATAATATAATATAATATAATATATAATAATTATATTATATATATATGTATTATATTATATATATATATATATCATATTGTATATATTATATTTTATATTATATTATATTGTATTATATATAAATATATATTAATATATATATTATAGACTATCTATTACATATATATTATATTATATTATATTATATTATATTATATTATATTATATATATATGATATTATTATATATATATATTATATTATATGATATATATTATATATATATATATATTATTTTATATATATATTATATTGTATATATATATACATATGTATGTAAGTACGCAGTCCCATCTGTACTGATACATGTTACATCTCTTTGCTGTTGTAAATCCCAGCCATCCCAGAATTGGTTTGAGGGAAAATTCATGAGGAACCCCCTATATCTATTGTAAGAATTCATGAAATGTCTGAAAATTGTTCCTTTTATTCAATCACTAAGCCATCCCAAGAAGAAAGCACGGAACAAATTGGTCCTCCATCACTTCCTCCTCCGCCACTCCAACAGTGGGCCACACTGTGGCCGGCCCCAGCCACGTCACAGTGGACGGCTGAATCTCCTCCACTGGCGTCTTTGGCCTCCAGCAATGCGGAGTTGCCCAGAATGGGGGGAGGTTACAGCAACAACTTGGTGGTTCCAGCAAAAAACAACTCAGGATCAATAAAAAGATCTTTAGATATCGAGCATTGCTGGGAGATTTCAAAATATTTCAAACCCTTGACTTCAAATCTGTTCACTCCCATCCTGCGCCTCTTGGACGAGCATCGTTCCGTCCTTTTCCTCACCGGTTGCGAGCGCGCCCGCGCCGGCGCCACCCAGCGCAGGGCGAATACTGATGGATCTGGTGCCAGGATGTCGGAGAGCTGCTGCTCAGCAGCCTGGAGCAGGGATGATCCAACAGTGAGTCTGGCGTATACGGTATATCCCAATAAAAGGAACCTCTAGAAAAATGGGGATTGGTATGGATTGGTAAACCCTCTGGTAAACTAACATAGCTATGGAAAATCACCATTTTTAATGGGAAAATCCACTATAAATGGCCATTTTCAATAGCCATGTTAAATTACCGGAGGGTAACCCAGAGAAATTATGTAAGCATTAAAGCATTGGGTGAAACCAATAGCTCCACCACATTCCATCAGAGCTTCGATTTTTTGGAATGTGGAAAGTCCAATGGCAAACTATCCTCGATGACCTACCAGACATTGCCGAAGAGTTGCCACATTGCTTACGGCTACTGTATATCCCGTTAAAAACACAACCTCAAAACAGAAAGTCGGGATGTATATCCCCAAAATTTCCGCTTAGCAATAAACAATGTGTGAGAATGGGACATCACGAGAATGAACATAATGAACAGGGGATTACTAGCAACCACAAATTGCTGTCATCAGATGAGCAAAATATGTCGGGAAGTACAATAGTTTGGGATTTACATCTTAGATTGTGGGAGTGATGTTGCATGCAAGGGCCATGACAGGACCAGCAACTACCCTCGTTCAGTACTCATGATAAAGTTTAGATGATCTCGTTCATCGAAAATGACTCGAGAACTTTGTAACCTGATCGCTGGTTGCAACTCATCAACCAATGTGATAGTTTTAAGGGATCATCACGAGATTCTTAGGAAGACAATGCATATATCGTATCTGTGCATACAAATATGTATACAAATAAATCCAGCCATCACCAATTCGCTGGTTATGCTATCATATCCAGTTCTTGTTGCCTAACTCATATGAACTTCCTGTTGTTGGGACAAAGCCGCATCATCTTGTCGAATCTTATTGGTGATGTGCGCACTTATATCCCCATATGTTTGGTTGTATCTCCCTTATATCCCATTGCTACAACATGTCCCCTCTTAAGTCCCCAATATATCCCCATACAATGGTTGGTTGCATACCGTTGTTGTAGGTGAAATAGAACAAAATTTGACAAACGATGACAAACCCATCTTGGGGACTAATTCCATATGTGTGTGTGTGTGTCTTGAGTTTGTTACAGTACCCCACGATATCCCCAAATGACAAAACGGTTGGTTTCTACCACAATCAAGCTTAGAAACCACCAACCCATTCCAAACATCATCAGTTGAATCGTTGAATCTTGTTGTTTATTTGCCCCATTACATTCCCAATAAGGTCATATTTCCGATTTCCCATTAAAATTGGTTTTTAGTTATACCCTATTTCCAACAACCAAATCAAGTTGGTAATATTTCCCGTGAAAAATCTTGTATACTATCCTATAAATTTACCCATCAATATTACATAAACATCCCATAACATATCCTACGATAATATCACCAACTTGATATTTACACGTCAACATATTTACCCTCTGGTAATTCAACATAACTATATATGACTATGGAAAATCATCATTTTAATTTGGTAAATCATCTATCAATGGGCCATGTTCCATAGCTGTGTTAAATTACCAGAAAAGAATTCCCATTCATATTCACACGTTTGATGCTTAAATCATCTTAAATCCCTATTAATCACCATAAAATCCGACCCATGAAATCCCCCCTGACCTTTGAAGTGTTGAGTATGCGCCATGGCAACAGCTCATCCGTCCACGAAGCAGGCACGAGCCGCGCCCGCGCAGCCACTGCAGCGGCCTTGTCCTGACGCTCCTGGGAGAAGGTCAGGTTTTTGATGCCTGTTTTCCATGTCCTGACTCGTTTCAAAGGTTTATCCTCCACGTTTCTCATCTTTTTGGAATTCATCCCCAAGTTCTTCACATTTTTGTTGCTTCGGTTTGGTGTTGATTGCGGTTGTCAAGTGTTGTCGTTTGTTTGTTCTCATGTGCAAGCCGCCCTCTGGACTACAATAGTGACCACTGGTCATCCACAAGAAGGCGCACCCAACAGCAGGCTCCAGCGC